TGAGAAGGGACGCAACATTCTCTACCACAACGAGATTGTTCGCGGGGCAAAATGAAAATCAGATAATAGATCTTACCAGCCATCCACTCCAGGAAGATGTTGAAGTGACCAGCGTGTTTCGTTGCACCAAGGCATTTTATGAGGTGTGGGTGCTGCAGTCGTCCCAACAGAGAGATCTCATCTTCAATGGTCTGTGTGACCTTGGTCTGTTCCTCCACTGAATTGCGGCAAAAGGAAACCTAATAAAGGATAAAACAATCTTCAGTTGAGCGTTGGGAAAACTCGCGCGATCCTCTCAACCAATCAGATGCAAAACTAAATAGAACCACGCGTTTTCCCGCGGTTCGAGCCGTTTATTTGCTTTAACTTTGAGTTCTCATTGGCTAATAATAAAGCAAAACTTTTCTTCTGATTGGTCACCGTTGTCGATTGGCTTTGCTTTTTCGACATTCGATTGAAAAATACACTTGAGCAGAATAATTGTGTGGTTTTGCAGGAAAAGTCGCTGAGCGCACCAAATTCTCGTAACGAATTCACAAGAAAATCCACCGGTGTATAGCAGCTACAAAGGAGAATTTTGAATTCAACCAAGAGATTAAAGTACATGTACCTGTTTGACAGCCATAAGGGACCCACTCATAAGATCTCTGACAGCATAACAAGATGAGTAGGCCCCAGTCCCTAACAGTTCTCCTTTCTTCCAATGAACTCCTTCCANAAGAAAGTACTCTATCAATTGCATATAAGAAAACAATTAACAGACTAACACACCTCTGGCTGAGTAAAGATAATGACCATCTCGTCACCAGAATCCAAGCTTGGTATCCTTGACGGCCCAGAGTCAAGAGAGGAGACGGCCATGGCTTTAGCAATAGCTTCTGCTTCCTCCTGCTCGATGATCTCCTGGCACTTCTTACCAACAGCCAACTTTACTGGAGGCATCCTTGGGGAGTCCTCCAGAGATCTGGACCAATTAAGATCAACTTCTTCACTGGGGGAAAAGGTACATGAAGGTGATAAACACAAGGACTGTGGCCTCTCAAAGTTGTCTACAATAGCTTGAAGAAGCTCTGACTCTGAAAAATTATCTGTCTCGTCATCGGACATTGCTGAAGGCAAGCTTCCAATGGCTGAGTCGCGGTTACTAGAGGTAGAAGATGGTGGATCCATGTTTGTTTGAGATTCACGAGTAAAAACAGAGTCACTGCGATTCACTGTAGTCACGCCAGCCCTTGGTATTGCTTGAAACTGACGGTTGAGCGAACTGCGTTGAGAAGGCTTCAGTTTGGAAACCACTTTCTTGATATGTTGTTGAGCTGAAGGTACACAAGAAGATAACGACATACAAAACATAAGAACAGCAATGGCCAGTTTGCTGACCTTGCTATGTGAACAGTTGGCAGCTTGCATGGTAAACTTCAACACCGACATCAACCGACGGACATTGCTTTGATAAATTTCACTCGGATCTTCACTGGCATTGTTCCCTCTGCCCTGTACAAGAACACCAACTGTGTCCATTTGAACAGCAACACAATCATCTGTAAGCTCAAACTCTGTGACATATTCCTCCATTAATTTCCGCAAAAACAAGAGCCGCCCAAGCCACCAAGGCCACGTTGAATATTCAACTGCAGTCCTTAGTATACAGGATAAAATGAAGTTTAAGCCTCCCAATGGCTGCGGCTCACGTTCTGCACCGAGCATCTTGCCAAGCGCCAGATCTCCGTTTTCATCCTTACAGAGTTCCAAAAGAACTTGGATCGACAAAGCGCTAATCCGCCTGCAATGATTAAGAAAGCCACAGTTTCAGTGATTAACTCTTTACGGCGTACATCCATGAAAATCCTCCATACTGTTCTCTATACATTTTAAACGGTGCTTACAGGGAGAATTTGTTTTACAATCAGGAGTTTCTTGAGTTTGCGATCATTTTCTTTATTCTCATGACACTTACGTGTTAGACTACGAGCAGTCACTCTTTTACGAAAAGTTTCGAGTGCCTCACTCGTGGAGTTCCGGCGGCGCATCGGCGTAATTCTAAGAGTTTCCGTGGCGCGCTTACAGCATTTTTTTTTTTCACTGATAGTTTTTTCCACCGATATTTTTTTCCACTCGTGCAACGGACTTATCTGAAAAGGTGGGACTGCTCGTAGTTTGGAAGAAAACAGATGTTGCAAGAGCGGAGACTACTGCATCTTTCATTTATGAATAAGTGATGTGTCCTTAATATATCAACATATTGTTGATATAATTTGGATATATCAACAAAGTTGAAGTGGTAAATTGGCCACCGTAACGATTACAAAAGCTGACGTTTCGAGCGTTAGCCCTTCGTCGGAGCGAATGTTGAGCAGAGCAAGGGACAAGAATAGCAAAATATATCGGGTAAGAGATACACATTGATTTAACATGAAATTCTCAGAATGCTCACCTGTTGGAGTCAGCACACTTGGCTAAAACAGCTTCAATCACATTAAACAAACATTTCTGAAGATGATGTTTCTCTTGTTGGTTTGAGTACGACATATGCATCACCAATACTCGAAGAGTTCTCTGAAAGAAATTGACACGAAAAATGAACAAAGATAAATAATAGTCTACTCATGTTTTCAGTGAAAAAGTACTTTGAGAAACATTCATTACACTTTTGATGTCATATTTAAAAGATACATGCATTGTTGACCAAGCGTGAGGTCAAGATGCCCCCCCTCAGGTAGCCACTCAGAACACTGGATTCACTTCATTTTTCGCAGGGGTGCTGCTCTATAACAAAGTAAAGATGCTTACCAGTGCAGCCACATAGACTCGGTACACAGGGTCCCCACACATCATAGACAACAGAGAGCAACAGGCTTCAAAGGCAGCCATGTTTTGTGAGCTGCTTCCTTCTATAAATATTGCATTTATGTCCTTACTTAGACGGCGAAGAGCTGTTTCTCTCACATTCCATTCACGGGAGAATAAACAGCACACAAGATTTTCTCCAAATGCCTACGTTCATGTACAAAAAAGAAAGAAAAGATGTGAGACCATGCCACAAAGATTTTCAGCTGGACTGAATCAGCTTTTCATCAATGTTTCTGGGTTTAGTGATGTCTTTTTGGCAGTAACATATGCATGATTCTACAGCAAAGGACTGTTTTTAACCCTCTCACTCCCAAGATCTAATTAGTAATTCACCTTACATGTCTGCCATACATTTCTAACAATTCTAGTTCTCGTAATTTGGTATTGGATCAACCAACAATTGATTAATTATTGATCTTGCATTAATAATGTAAGGAGAAATTCTGTCTTGGTCACTCATGGGGGTTTATTAGGGCCAATACATACGTACATACATTCATACGTTAGTTGACCACTCCCCATGGGGGCTTTTCAGGGCCAATTCCCACCCATCCCACCACAAGGGAGGACATCCACAACACAGTAATCTCATGCATGGGAAATTAACGTCTTCCACCCCTAGCCCTGCAGGAAACGGGGCATATGGTTTATTCGTCCTTATCCGAGAAGACTAGAATATCTATCCATTTCTTGATTATAGAAAGGTAGCAAATTCTCCTCACTTATTTTAAGACCATGAGTATCGGTCCGGCCAGGGCTCAAACCCTTGACCTCCCACACAACACAAGCCAGCGCTCTAACCAATTGAGCTAACTGGGAGGCTGTATGTGACACTTCTTACTGTTTTAAGTCTAAAATGTGACCTTTTGCCTGAAAGTTTGAATTATTTTGGAAGTCAGTTTCACTAATAATGTACAGTCATTCAGGCAGGTTTGTTGATTACAGCACATCAATGTCAGAAAAAAGTCTCATACCATTTGATAATCAAGAGTGATCAGGAAATCATTTTCCTTACAATAATAATAAAATATCAAACAGGAAACAGATGAGAAAGAAGATAAATATAAACTAGGATATTACTAGTTGATCTAAGACCATATAGACAGCAGGGTTGCCACTCATTAGAACCCAAAAAATTCCCTGACTTTTCACTGACCTAGCTGAAAACATTTTTCACTGACCTTGAATTAAATTAATTATCAAACAGGCCAAATCCACTTTTACATTTCTCCATAGCTTTTAAGCTTTCTATCCAATTTGCTACACTCGATCGACACCTATGTGGAACCCTCAAAACAAAATTCCCTGCCTATTTTCACTGACTTTGATGAGAACTAAGATTTTCCCTGACTTTTGTTTTTCCCTGACTGTGGCAAACCCTGTACAGGAAATTTACAATCAAGATATTAGGAGTGATCGAATGTCAGTTAAAAAATTTGCAAAATATAATAGGCCATTTTACAGTTGTGTACTTAGTTGCCAAGCCTTTGATTCAGAGTGAGGCTAAAGATGACCTTGTTGTGATAGACACCTGTATCTAGTTAGCATGATAACAATGTGATTTACATTTGAAAGGCAGCAAGGTTTGTATCATAACAAGGTCATCTCTAGCCTCACTCCCATTCAAAGGCTTGGCAACCAAGCACACAACTGTAAAATGGACTATATTGAGGAATCTGAGCAACTCAATCTATTTCACAATTCACCTCAATCCATGGTTTTGCTAGTTCCACCTGTGCTGCCGGTACTGGGTTTGAGTGTGGGAGAGTGATCTCCTCTGGGTCTAAGGGTGCTGGAACACTGGGAAGTTCAGTTCGTATACTGTGATCTGGAGATCTAGTGAAAAAAAAAAACAATTGTTACAGTGAATACCTATGACAACAGTCAAAACGATCACATTTATATTACATGTCATTCTAAAAGACTTAATATTTCTTACACTCCCAAGATT